CTATATTACTGTATGTTAACCGCTGTCCTAAATGCTTGACTTGGAAAAATCTAATTGGATCGACTGAATTTGGTACGACGTCTGAATCAAAAGTAGATATTTGACGATCTTTGGTCGATCTTCAACGTGTTAGRTTCGGTTCATGAAAAGTTCGACTTATGAACCGGGCTTCATAATACTTGTAAACAATCGACCAGTTTTGGCGTCTTTTGAATCACACGCGTGTAAATGACGTCAACGTGTTTGATTGACGGCAGCCTATTGCAAAGTGCACGTCGCGATTTTTGTCTGRGGTGGCCGCGTAGCAATGCAAACGGCAGTAACTAGTTTAGTATTGGTTGTGGTCGGGTTGAGCATTGTATTGCGTCGCCTATTGCTAGGAGAGGAAGTGTTGCAAACTTCGTCTGCCGTAAACAAGGATGACAAATACATATATTACAGCGAACAAAGGCATGCTTTTGGGAATATTTATCCAACTACAAAGACTCCTAAACACCAATACAACAGAACTAAAAAATAAATTAATTGATTAATTAAATTGACTTTATTTAACGAGGGTGACATACATTACTGGTAGCCCAGTAGTTTCCATTATGGCCCTCCTACGATTAATAAACTGAAATGAAAGATCAAATAAACATAAAGCGTGTTAAGAATCCCAACTGGCAAGGAGGCAAACCAGTAGGCTATTTACAAGCATGGTCGAGAAACTGAATCTGAACTAATCAGAAACCAGGACAAATACAGTCTCAGCTAGTGGCCACAGCGGGACTCGAACCTGGCGCCACCGGATTGCGAGACCGAGACCGACGCTATGACCACTCGAACATGCTGCTTCCCAAAGAACTAGATGACAACCCAACTGAGCCAACTTAATAAGTAAATTTAACGAGAGAGAGAAAAAAAAAAGGAAATTGAACTTTACCAGAAGACTCTCACTTTCGATTCACTATTCATGTTGATAGTCGTTTTTTTAATTTTTACAGACGTCACGCATCTACTATCGATCGAAGACATGTGACCTCTTTTCTTATCGTTTGACCACAGGCAGCCCAAGCAATTTATCTATTGTGTGTACGAAGGGATCGGATTTACAGTAAATGTACGTATAGGATGAAAAAAGATGTCATTTAAAAAACTATAATTTGAAGATACCTTGCTTCTGTATCGTTATCAATCGTATTCTTAAACGTCATTCTGAGTGTCTTCTAGCCGTTTCAGTGCAGTTTTTGAAAAAATAAGCCACAAGCGAATAAAATTTAAGTTTTCAAAAACCTATATAAAACGACTAAAACCTATACAGAATGACGTTAAATATTATTAATAACGACAGAGGAGCAAGGCATGTTCAAACTATTTTTTTTTGATATTTTTTCGCTTCTAGTCCCATACATTTACTGTAAGTCAATTCGTACACACCACAAATATATATTGCTTGGGCTGCCTGTAGTTTAACAGATCCATGGCGTCCAAGACGTTCACAGACAGGGAGCTGAACTACTTTCGTATTTGTTACATTGTCACGCGTGCTGTACCTGAAGAGCTGAGAAAATTCTTTAAACAAGAATGGGACAAGTTTTTCAAGGCTACGCATGGAGAGTGGCGTGACACAGCCAAGAATGGAAACGATTTCGATAACATGGAGTCGCCGAGAAATAAGAGTCGGAATGCAAGGCTTCTGTCTGTAATAGTGAATGGTAACACCAGTGAATGGGACTGTACTTGCCTCTTTTATGCTATTCTATACTCAGATTCTCTTGGAAAATCTCTCAAACATAGTCCTGCATGGAAAAGCATCGACGCGTTACGAAAAATTCGTAATAAAGTTTTTGCCCATACCATCGATGGAAGCCTCGAAGACGTGGATTTTCAAGCTTCTGTTCAAAAAGTTTTAACGGCGTTTTCAACCTTGAAGCTGGATGCTTCAGCAATAGAACACATGAAAAACCAAAAAGTGTTCTTAACAGACGAGGTGCTCAGTCTTCAGCATCAACTTGAAACAGAAAAGAAACGTATCGCTGAATTGTTTTCGTTTTGTGTGTTGCCCCCCAAACCTTCCCATGATACCACTGAACGTCCAGAAGAAGTATCCAGTATATACGAAGAGATGACCAAGTTAAGAAACGCCAAGAACAATGAGACAACTGTGACGTATCTGTCTGGGAATCCAGGCTGTGGAAAAACTGAGATGGCAAGGCAAATCGGGCAGAAACATTTCAAGAAAGAGGGYGAYGAAGGAGCAGATCTAAGGTTCGTATTCACTCTCAATGGATTYAGCTTGRATACSYTGCTTCAGTCRTACATAGARTTYGGTGGTCAWCTCAATYGYGACCAAGAAMGSATAACAAMCATTAGTACAGCACAGGATYTCAGTAAAGAGRARAAARTCWMACAAATAAGAGGTTTWRTCGYCWCCAGAATTCAGACATATTCTTCCTGGCTCATCATTGTTGAYAACRTCRTAGATCTTAAGTCGGTTTTYCAATACTTGCCTCAAGCTGGAGAAAGGACAGTTGGAAAAGGTCAGATCTTAGTCACAACTCAGGACAGTCAATCCATTCAAAAAAGTGATTCCTATACGTACCATACGTCTCTAAGCCAAGGAATGAAACAAGAAGAATCGATTGCTTTACTTTGCCAAGTATCTGGTTTAGAAAGCGATGACAACACGTCGGAAGTAGTCAGGGCTCTCGATTTCCAGCCCCTTGCATTAGCATGTGCTGCAGTTTACATGAAACAAATATGCAGTGTAGGAAAAGATATTACCTGGGGAAAATATCTTGAAAAGCTGCAAAACGACCAACTTGAGGCAACAGAAGCAGCTTATGAGGTAACAAGTTTAGCTTACCGATCGACAATGACTACTGCTGTGAAGTTGGCCTTGGAAAGAGAAGTTGACAAGAACGAGGTAATGATGCATGCGTTTCAGTTTTTGTCTTACGTAGCTCCTGACCCGATATCACTGAAATATGTCGTTGAATATGTTAAGAAGTGCATGCCAAAGCAGGACGATGAGCTTCTGGCTGCAAAGATAGCTTCTTCATCGCTTGTCATTTCTTCCGATGGTGAGTCCAAAGAGGTTCGCTTGCATCAAGTTGTGTATGACTGCATGAAAAAGGTTCTGAGTCAAAGAAATACAAGCAAATGTATTGTGTTTGAAGTGGTTTTGGCCTTTTCAGATATTCATTCTTTTGATATGGACAAAATATCCGACNTCATAGTATTCGAGTGGTCTTTATATAAAGACACATGTGTCTTTATATAAAATCACTTGAATACTAATGAAGAGGACTTTATCGGGTATAAAGGTTCATGCACGTGACGTGTATGGTGGCTCTAATTGGACCATAAGCTTATGAATTATTAATGAGTGTTTTAAGTAAATTTAACGAGAGAGAGGAAAAAAAGAAGGAAATTGAACTTAACCAGAAGACTCTCACTTTCGATTCACTATTCATGTTGATAGTCGTTTTTTTAATTTTTACAGACGTCACGCATCTACTATCGATAGAAGACATGTGACCTCTTTTCTTATCGTTTGACCACAGGCAGCCCAAGCAATTTATCTATTGTGTGTACGAAGGGATCGGATTTACAGTAAATGTACGTATAGGATGAAAAAAGATGTCATTTAAAAAACTATAATTTGAAGATACCTTGCTTCTGTATCGTTATCAATCGTATTCTTAAACGTCATTCTGAGTGTCTTCTAGCCGTTTCAGTGCAGTTTTTGAAAAAATAAGCCACAAGCGAATAAAATTTAAGTTTTCAAAAACCTATATAAAACGACTAAAACCTATACAGAATGACGTTAAATATTATTAATAACGACAGAGGAGCAAGGCATGTTCAAACTATTTTTTTTGATATTTTTTCGCTTCTAGTCCCATACATTTACTGTAAGTCAATTCGTACACACCACAAATATATATTGCTTGGGCTGCCTGTAGTTTAACAGATCCATGGCGTCCAAGACGTTCACAGACGGGGAGCAGAACTACTTTCGTATTTGTTACATTGTCACGCGTGCTGTACCTGAAGAGCTGAGAAAATTCTTTAAACAAGAATGGGACAAGTTTTTCAAGGCTACGCATGGAGAGTGGCGTGACACAGCCAAGAATGGAAACGATTTCGATAACATGGAGTCGCCGAGAAATAAGAGTCGGAATGCAAGGCTTCTGTCTGTAATGGTGAATGGTAACACCAGTGAATGGGACTGTACTTGCCTCTTTTATGCTATTCTATACTCAGATTCTCTTGGAAAATCTCTCAAACATAGTCCTGCATGGAGAAGCATCGACGCATTACGAGAAATTCGTAATGAAGTTTTTGCCCATACCATCGATGAAAGCCTCGAAGAAGTGGATTTCCAAGCTTCTGTTCAAAAAGTTTTAACGGCGTTTTCAACCTTGAAGCTGGATGCTTCAGCAATAGAACACATGAAAAACCAAAAAGTGTTCTTAACAGACGAGGTGCTCAGTCTTCAGCATCAACTTGAAACAGAAAAGAAACGTATCGCTGAATTGTTTTCGTTTTGTGTGTTGCCCCCCAAACCTTCCCATGATACCACTGAACGTCCAGAAGAAGTATCYAGTATATACGAAGAGATGACYAAGTTAAGAAACGCCAAGAACAATGAGACAACTGTGACGTATCTGTCTGGGAATCCAGGCTGTGGAAAAACTGAGATGGCAAGGCAAATCGGGCAGAAACATTTCAAGAAAGAGGGCGATGAAGGAGCAGATCTAAGGTTCGTATTCACTCTCAATGGATTCAGCTTGGATACGCTGCTTCAGTCATACATAGAATTTGGTGGTCAACTCAATTGCGACCAAGAAAGCATAACAACCATTAGTACAGCACAGGATYTCAGTAAAGAGGARAAAGTCAAACAAATAAGAGGTTTAGTCGTCTCCAGAATTCAGACATATTCTTCCTGGCTCATCATTGTTGACAACGTCGTAGATCTTAAGTCGGTTTTTCAATACTTGCCTCAAGCTGGAGAAAGGACAGTTGGAAAAGGTCAGATCTTAGTCACAACTCAGGACAGTCAATCCATTCCAAAAAGTGATTCCTATACGTACCATACATCTCTAAGCCAAGGAATGAAACAAGAAGAATCGATGGCTTTACTTTGCCAAGTATCTGGTTTAGAAAGCGATGACAACTCGTTGGAGGTAGTCAGGGCTCTCGATTTCCAGCCCCTTGCATTAGCATGTGCTGCAGTTTACATGAAACAAATATGCAGTGTAGGAAAAGCAATTACCTGGGGGAAATATCTTGATAAGCTGCAAAACGAACAACTTGAGGCAACAGAAGCAGCTTATGAGGAAACAAGTTTAGCTTACCGATCGACAATGACTACTGCTGTGAAGTTGGCCTTGGAAAGAGAAGTTGACAAGAACGAGGTAATGTTACATGCGTTTCAGTTTTTGTCTTACGTAGCTCTTGACCCGATACCACTGAAATATGTCGTTGAATATGTTAAGAAGTGCATGCCAAAGCAGGACGATGAGCTACTGGCTGCAAAGATAGCTTCTTCATCGCTTGTCATTTCTTCCGATGGTGAGTCCAAAGAGGTTCGCTTGCATCAAGTTGTGTATGACTGCATGAAAAAGGTTCTGAGTCAAAGAAATCAAAGAAATACAAGCAAATGTATTGTGTTTGAAGTGGTTTTGGCCTTTTCAGATATTCATTCTTTTGATATGGACAAAATATCCGACATCGCTGAAACACGAAAACGTGTTCCCCATTTTGAGTCCATCGCAGCTAAGTTGCAGCCCTTCATTGAACAAGAAGATCGACCTTCTTTTGTGAGGGATTCTGGACTTTGCTCGAGGTWTGCTCTTGTTGAAAAGGGCTTGTCAAAAATTGGCGATATCTGCTCATTGCATGGTTGCTTTCGAGCTTCCCTTACTTGTTATAAGATCATCTTTATGATTCAACAAGAGAGAGTGAATAATAAGAATGAYCCATGTTTTGCAATTACACAAACAGATATGGGCAACAGCTATTTTCATCTTGGACGGTATAATGATTCGAGGATATGTTTGGAGAGAGCACTAAGCATTCATAGCAATGTTTATCCCCATGAAAATCATCCTTCAGTAGCTAGAACCCTCGATATTCTCTCTCGTACCATGCGTGATTTGGGCCTGCATGAACAAGCTAAGAGCTATTCAGAAAAAGCTTTGGCTATCAAGGAGAGTATTTATGGCTCAAATCATCAGGTTTTGAGTGGCACTCTTAATAACCTTGGGAATATTTTTCGCCAGTTGACCCAATATGAAAAATCAAAGTCATATTTGGAAAGATCTTTGGCCATCCAAGAGAGAGTTTTTGGAGAGGATCATCCAAATGTGGCTTCTACTCTTAATAACCTTGCTTCAACTTTAAAACGTCTTGGGCAACATGAAAAAGCTAAGGAATATTTAGAGAGAGCCCTTGTGACAGAGTCAAAAGACACTATTTTGGACAGTAATTATTTAGTCNATGAAAATCATCCTTCAGTAGCTAGAACCCTCGATATTCTCTCTCGTACCATGCTTCATTTGGGCCTGCATGAACAAGCTAAGAGCTATTCAGAAAAAGCTTTGGCTATCAAGGAGAGTATTTATGGCTCAAATCATCAGGTTTTGAGTGGCACTCTTAATAACCTTGGGAATATTTTTCGCCAGTTGACCCAATATGAAAAATCAAAGTCATATTTGGAAAGATCTTTGGCCATCCAAGAGAGAGCTTTTGGAGAGGATCATCCAAATTTGGCTTCTACTTTTAATAACCTTGCTTCAACTTTAAAACGTCTTGGGCAACATGAAAAAACTAAGGAATATTTCGAGAGAGCCCTGTCTATAAGTGAAAATGTGTTTGGTGATAATCATCCCTGGGTAGCAAGCATACTGAATAACCTGGGGCAATGTTTCCTGAATTTACCAAAATACGAAAAGGCAAAACATTACACAGAAAGGGCTGTAGCGATAGAAGAAAAAACACTAGGACCAACGCATCCATCGTTAGCTGATTTGCTATGTAATCTAGGAGGTATCCTCATGCACATGGGACAGAACACTGAAGCGAAAACTTATTTAGAGAGAGCTCTGTCGATAGCAGAGAATGTTCATGGTGATAATCATCCTAATGTAGCAGCCATACTGAATAAGCTGGGACAATGTTTCCTGAATTTACGAAAATACGAAGAAGCAAAAGATTACGCTGAAAGGGCTGTAGCGATAAGAGAAAAAACACTAGGACCAACGCACCCATTGTTAGCTGATTTGCTATGTCGTCTAGGACATATCCTCATCTGTATGGGACAGTACAATGAAGTCATACCTTATTTAGAGAGACTTCTGTCCATAGCAGAGAATGTTCATGGTGATAATCATCCCACGGTAGCATGCACACTGCATAAACTGGGACAATGTTTCACGACATTACGAAAATACGAAGAAGCAAAACATTACACTGAAAGGGTTGTAGCGATAAGAGAAAAAACACTAGGACCGACGCACCCATCGTTAGCTGATTTGCTATGTAATCTAGGGTTTATCCTCATGGACATGGGAAAGTACAATGAAGCCATAACTTATTTAGAGAGAGCTCTGTCCATAGCAGAGAATGTTCATGGTGATCATCATCCCACGGTAGCAGCCATACTGAAAAAGCTGGTGATACGTTTCACGAAATTACGAAAATACGAAGAAGTAAAACATTACGGTGAAAGGACTGTAGCGATAAGAGAAAAAACACTAGGACCAACGCACCCATCGTTAGCTGATTTGCTATGTAGTCTAGGAGATATTTTCATGCACATGGGACAGTACGATGAAGCCATACCTTATTTAGAGAGAGCTCTGTCCATAGCAGAGAATGTTCATGGTGATAATCATCCCACGGTAGCAGCCATACTGAAAAAGCTGGTGCTGTGTTTCATGAATTTACGAAAATACGAAGAAGCAAAACATTACACTGAAAGGACTGTAGCGATAAGAGAAAAAACACTAGGACCAACGCACCCATCGTTAGCTGATTTCCTATATATTATAGGGTTTATCCTCATGGACATGGGAAAGTACAATGAAGCCATAACTTATTTAGAGAGAGCTCTGTCCATAGCAGAGAATGTCGATGGTGATAATCATCCTAATGTAGCAGCCATACTGAATAAGCTGGTGATATGTTTCAAGAATTTACGAAAATACGAAGAGGCGAAACATTACACGGAAAGGGCTGTAGCGATAATAGAAAAAACACTAGGACCGACGGATTCATCGTTAGCTGATTCGCTACGTAATCTAGGACTTATCCTCATGGACGTGGGACAGTACAATGAAGCGAGAACTTATTTAGAGAGAGCTCTGTCCATAGCAGAGAATGTTCATGGTGATAATCATCTCAATGTAGCAGCCATACTGAATAAGCTGGGACATTGTTTCCTGAATTTACGAAAATACGAAGAGGCAAAACATTACACAGAAAGGGTTGTAGCGATAAGAGAAAAAACTCTAGGACCGACGCACTCATC